TCTCTCTCTAAAAATCAATAAAAAGTCTCTTTTGTAAAAAAAGAATGCACATTTCATAGTCATTTCGGTTTATCTCAAGACACAAGACAGTACTGTCTTCACGCTGGAGCACAGGACAAGAAGGAAGCTAGCTACTGATAGAGCTGCCTCCGTTTAAAGACAAAGCTATTAACAGCATGATACTCCTTAGCTTGGAAGCAAAGTTTTTCTCAATTTATACTTAACTAAAGGTTTCATTTACATTTAGTAAATAAAGCATTTGCCTTTGAACAAAATCAAATAGGTAAGTTGATAGAGGTCAAGCTCTTTAGAGCAAAGTAAATTGAGAAGAATCAGGACTTTCTCCTAAGTCTGTATGGAGTAAGGAATTTGAAATAATATAAAATATGAGATAAGAGTTGTATTTTTTATTTATTTAGATATATTTTTATTGATTTCAGAGAGGCAGTGGGAAGAGAGAGAGAGAGAGAGAGAGAGAGAGAGAGAGAGAGAGACATCAGTGATGACAGAGAGACACTGATCAGCTGCCTCCTGCATGCCCCACACTGGGGATCAGGCCCCCAACCTGGGCATGTGCCCTGACCGGGAATCAGACCGTGACCTCCTGGTTCATAGATCGATGCTCAACTATTGAGCCACAGCAGCCAGACCAAGAGTTGTATTTTTTAAAAAGGCAGTGGCTTTCACTTAATATGACCTTATCATCTGAAGACCTGATTATTCTTCAGGGTTGGAGCTGCTCCCTTCCCACCGGGTTGCCATTTCTGACTTTGTGATATTTCATTAGTGTCATTCACAGGCGATATTTAACATGAAATGGCCAAGTAAGGCCACCGTGACTGTTCTTTCCTAGTTTCCCTGGCTTTGATGAGTCATTCATTGCAATACAGCCCTCTGAACCAGGGCTGATAAGAATAGACACACAATAGGAAAATAATGCCACTGAGAGCTGCAGCAGAAAGCGCTGGGAGCTCATATGCGTGCTCACAGCTGTGCTGTATGCAGCTGTGTGACCATGAACAAATCTCCGCCTTTCAGGGCCCCGGGCTTCTCGCGCATAAAATAAAGTTTCTAGAGTCTCTTGCTGAGGTTCAGTCAACTTTGGAGTTTAATATCCGCCAAGAAATAGGAGATAAGCTCTTTCAGGGACAGTGCTTCGTGATTTGTGTAATTATAGTAGCTTTGTTGGCTGTTGGAAAACAGCAGTGGCCGATGAGTCAGCCTGGCACGTAGCTATTGGAGATCAGTGATGCTTTTTTTATTGGGGGGGGAAAAAAAAACCTGACTACCGCATAAGTTTAGGGGCCAGTGGTCAGGGTGATGCCAAGTTCCAGAAATAGCAGTGAGTTTCTTGTACAGAGGACAGTATGAGGGGACTGTTGTTATGAACTGGTTTTCCCAGCCCCACTTCCACTTCAGCTGTCCTTAGGGAAGGCGCTCACGTGGGAGGCCATGAGGTATGACATCCCCATCCAGTAAACAGCTCACTGCACATGTTGCGTGGATTCACCACCAGTGACTGGGAAGTGGCAGGTGGTATTTTTAAACCTCCTCCTTCTCCCGATGATGTTCTCTAAGGATGGACATAAAGGGAACTCCAGTCGAATGCATGTTCTCTTATGAGCTCCAGCTGCAAACCCCTGGGTGAGGCCTGGGCTCCTGTAGAGATGAGCAGATCTGACTACCCATCCTTCCTCCTTCCTCTGGGCCCCATGTCGGACTCCTCCAATGGCCAGAGTAGCGGGGAGAAAGTCCCCTTTCTCTCAGGGCTGGGCCTGAGCCTGACTGGCTGCTGACCCTGTGCTTCCCCACATGTCCAGCTTGGCTGACCCAGCGGATGTGAGTTCCACGTGTGACAGGAAGAGCTTGGGCTGGGGGTCAAGGTCGGGCTCATTCTGAACCCTGCTCCCACTTCCTGGCTCTGGGCCTGGGCTGAGTTGTTTGGCTCAGGTACTAAGTGTGGTAATAGTAATAGTCAGCATGCAGGTAGCTTCACCGTGTCTTCGAGAAGCACATTTTATTCCTCAACCAAATGCAAATGCCTCCTCCTCAGAGACAGTGAAGGTGGGCTAGAAACTTGACCTTGGACTCTCCTCCCCCATCCTTTCATCCTCAAGAAGATCTCAGCACCAGAGGCAGAGCTGACTCACAGAGACGGGCAAGGATCCCCGCTTCTTACGCCCCCTGGACAAAGGTGTTCAAACTCTATAAGCAATAATCTACTTTTTAAAAATATTACAGAAAATGTAAAATGAGTAAAAGTAGGCCTTTGTTTTTTAAAAAAATGGTTAAGTTGAAATTTATAATAAACCTAATAAGAATGATGAAGCAGCTTTGGTGAATATAGACATTTGAAGTAGGGGAGATAATAGATGACTGATATGGTCATTTCCCTGGAACATATAGGTAGGTACAGTTGTACCTCAGTATTCGGGGTGGGGGGGATTGGTTCCAGGACACGAGCAGATACAAAATCTGTGGGTGTTCCAGTCCCTTATCAGACAGAACGGGGAAGAACAAGGCACACAGTTGACCCTGGGCATCCACAGATTCCCAACCACGTATTGAAAATACTGTTTTCGATCCAGGGTTGGTTGAATCCAAGGTCGAAAAATTCATGAATATTGGGGAGGAGGGGAGACTATAATTGCAAAACAGTTCTCCTTTCAGTCAAGTGATACTGGTCAATGAAAGAAGAAAGATAGACTATGCCCAGGCTGCCAACAATATATAAACCGGCACATATCTATCTGTTCACATGTAACAGAGGGGAATGAACTTTTGAATTATTGCCTTTTCCCCCAAATGCTTATACATGTAAAAAAAGAAATTTAAAAAATATATATTTTATTGATTTTTTGCAGAGAGGAAGGGAGAGGGATAGAAAGTTAGAAACATCAATGAGAGAGAAACATCAATTAGCTGCCTCCTGCACACTCCCTACTGGGTATGTGCCTGCAACCAAGGTACATGCCCCTGACAAGAATCTAACCTGAGACCCTTGAGGCCACAGGCCGATGCTCTATCACTGAGCTAAACTGGTTAGGGCTAAAAAAAAGAAATTTAAAGTAAATGTTAATATGTGTAAGACACCTCCATAGAACCCCAGGGTTCGGCAGAAGAGTGCTTGAACCCTGCTCCCTTAGGTCTTGCGGCACTCACATCTCAGTTTGCTCTCTGTTCCCCAGTTGTTTGTGGTGTGTGTATGTGTGTGTGTGTGTTAGCTTATGGAGATGAAAACTCAAGACCATTTTGTATAAAATGTGGTGAAATTTGGATGAGATCTGCAGTCTGGTTGACAGTTTTGTGTGAGTCAATTGCTTGTTTTGATATTGTACTGTAGTCATGTAAAATGTTACCACTGGAGGAAGTTGGGTGGAGGGTACATCTATGTAGTACTGTTTTTGCAATTTTCTCTGCATCTATAATTATTGCAGAATTTAAAAGAAAAAGGTTGTTTGAAAACAGTTGTCTTGTAGTTGTTAGGAAGGAGTACGCCGGATTAATAGAGCAGTGTACACACCACCCTTAAGAGGGGATTTCCATTGCTCTTCCCTTCAAAAAGAGCATCTTTTCTTTCCTTGCCACTGAGTTCTGTATCCTCCACCCTCACTGTCACTGACTGTGACACTGTTGAAGTTTTGGAAAGAAAACAGCCACTGGCACATCCAGGAGAGCTCTTCCGGGAAATCCAGTGTAGCAGCTGCTTAATTACTCAATAAGAAAATGGCACTGAAACGCAAGTGCTCCGTCTGCAGTCACCTGATACAGAAGGTCTATGGGTAATGCAGCATGCTTTTGGGAAGCATTCCTATGCTTAACACATTTAGTAATTAGGCCAAAGAGTGTCAAGAAGCCATGATATCATGATGTGGCCACGTGTACAGATCAGCGTCCTGAAGCCTGGCATGGTGATGCACAGTGATGAGGATTCTCAGGAGGAAAGGTGAAGAGCTAATGATAACTTAAAAAGAGTAAACCTTTGCCCTAACTGGTTTGGCTCAGAGGATAAGCATCGGCCTGTGGACTGAAGGGTCCCAGGTTCGATTCCGGTCAAGGGCATGTACCTTGGTTGAGGGCACATCCCCAGTAGGGAGTGTGCAGGAGGCAGCTGATCGATGTTTCTCTCTCATCAATGTTTCTAACTCTCTATCCTTCTCCCTTCCTCTCTGTAAAAAAATCAATTTATATATATATATATATATATATATATATATAGAGAGAGAGAGAGAGAGAGAGAGAGAGAGAGAGAACACCTTTGATCCACCCACTTCTCTGTGTGTAGAGGGGACGTGGGGAGGGCGATAGTGAACTGTGGTTCTCTGTTTCCCTGGATTTTACAGTGTGCTGTCAATTACTGCCTTGGTCTTTGATAAGATTGATGGTGGTGGTGTTTTTTATCACTTGGAGAAATGCAACAGAATTCCCTGAGCCATCTTCCCAGATCTGTATTCCTTGTTTTTGCCAAAACAGTGATTATCTGGTCTGCTTTGACTCTAATGGATCAGTGGGGTTGATCACATCTATCAGACACCTACGTGAGCTGAGCTCAGGACAGTGCTTTGGTTAATGTGTTCGTGTGTGCTAATAGAATCCGTTTTTATTTTTGTTTTATTTTTTTGAATATATATTTTTATTGATTTAAGAGAGGAAGGGAAAGGGAGAGAGAAATATCAATGGTGAGAGGAAACATTGATCAGCTGCTTCCTGCACTCCCCACACTGGGGATTGAGCCCGCAACCTGGGCATGTGCCCTAACTGGAATCGAACTGTGACCTCCTTGTTCATAGGTCGATGCTCAACCACTGAGCCACACCAGCCAGACTATAATTTGTTTTTAAAAAATCAATTTACTCAGTTTACAAAGGTCCTTTGCATTAAGCGGGCCTTTGCATTAGTTTTGGGCCAGGTGTGGAGACGCCCTGGCTGTCTCTGGAGACTAAGCTCTCAGCTTTTCCCAGAATCACTCTGTCTGACCAGCTCTTCTGGCTTCTTCTCAGGGTTATCAATGCCGGGAAGAGCACGCACAACGAAGACCAGGCCAGCTGCGAGGTACTCACCGTGAAGAAGAAAGCAGGGGCCATTGCCTCCACCCCCAACAGGAACTCCACCAAGAGACGGTCCTCCCTTCCCAATGGGGAGGGGCTGCAACTGAAGGAGAACGCGGTAAGACCCCGCTCTGCCCGCAGGCCTCGGGGAGGGGAACACACACACTCCGGTTCCAGCTGAGTGAGTCCGTCATGGACAGGAGAAAAGCTGTCCCAGGGTTAGTGGAGTAGTGGGTCTCCGCTCAGGCTACCAGTCAGCTGAAGGCAACATCTGTATGAAGAAGTGGTGTGTAGGTTTTTAACCTTTAAAGTAAATAAAATACCCAAATCATACATAGATTTTATTGCAAGAATTAGTGTGTAGAACATTTGATGGATTTAAGGTAGCCACTACAAGGCATTGGTGAAGGAGCTGGTTCGGCAGCCGCTCACAAGAGGTGGAAATAACTTGCCATTGACTCGCAGCCCTGCTATGATTATGGCCCTTTCTTCCTCTCCTGTCGCTTGGAGTTGTCCAGCTGGAGCCTGTGCCCAACTCTGTTACAAATTAACATTTGTTTCACTTGGCCCAGAGCCCTTGCGTCCCCCGGGGCAGCCCTGCCAACAAATCACAGAGCATTTCTCCTCCCTCCAGTTTCGGGAGGGGAAAGCAGACATCCTCCGGAAAGTCAGAAGACAACTCAGGGAAAGATAGGGAACGATTGGCACCGTGTCCATCAGCAGGTCCTGTCGTGCTGCAGAGGAGAGACATCGAGTGGATGACCCAAATGCTACTACTTATTTTGACAATCTGGTATAGAAGTTTTGTATAGAAATTTCTACAGGATTGCAAAGGATCTAGGATTCTCTTCGTAGACTAAGAAATAGCGTCTCGTTGCATTTACGTTTAGGGAGTAAGAGTACTGGTTTATTTTGATAGTATTACTTCAGCTCAGAGTTAGGAAACAGAGGGGCCCGAGGAGACTGTCAGTTGGGTTCCAGATCATTGCAAAGACCCTGAGAGAGGAACGGCCTGGCGTTTTAAAGCACCAGCAAGAGACTCGTGGCTGGAGCAGAGAGAGTTGTCAGAAAGGTCGTGAGAGTGGAGTGAGGCGCCCGGGCAGGACCTGAACGGCCCGTTATCAGGCCTTTGGCTTCCACTCTGAATGAACAATTTATTAGCAGAGGACACTGGGTACACTGCTTAATGAGGCCGGTGATTTTTCTCATCTAAGGACATCCCTTAACTCGGATATGGCGATGCTTAGGAAAGGGTAATGACATAGAGCCCCTGAGCAAGAAAACATCCATAGGAGACAAGTCATGTGGGTCTACCCCTCCCCCTTCCCCATGAATCATCTCCTTTTTGTTTGTTTTTTGTTAATCCTCACCTGAGGATATATCCCCCCTCCCCCATTGTTTTCCAGACAAGTGGAAGGAAGGGAAGGAGGAGAGAGAGATAAACATCTATGTGAGAGACACATCACTGGTTGCCTCCCGCACAAACACCCGTCCAGGGGGTGGGGAGCGAACCCATGACCCTTGAGTATGAAGACCAAAGTTCTAACCACTTTGCATACCGGCCAGGGCTGAATCTATTTCTTCATTCAACAAACATGTATTGAGCGCCGAGTCTGCACGCTAGGCTTGGGAATAGGCAATGAACTCGGTACAGTTCCCACAGCTGAGCAGAGGAGGCAGAAAGAGGCCATAGCAGCAGGACTGCAGAGGAGTGAGTTTTAGGAGAAAGATGAAGAGTTGAAATGGTATGGAAGCCTAAGTCAGGTCTAGTGTGCTGGAGCATGGGTCGGCTCTTGGAGCGTGATGACGCAGAAACAGCAAGCAGGTTTCACATACAAAAGCCATTTAATGCCCAATAAGCTGGAGTTTTAACCAAATGACTCTAGACAAGAGCATAATGGACAAGACAGTGATGGTGGTGGGAAGCTCGCTGAGGAAGGTTAGGAGAGCAGCTACAGGCTGGGACACCTAAAAGTCTGCCTCAAACAGAAATCGGCTGAGAAATGATGGCAGCTTGGAATAAGGCAGTGATCAGAGCAAGGGAAAGCTCAGAAGAGATGATGTGAGAGAGACAGTTGAGGCGACCTGATGACCTACTGCACGGGTAGGGGAGAGTTGGAGATGCCAGGTTTCAGCTACTGGATGTTGATCCTTGAATGTGGACCCTGGAGCAGGTACAGGTTTAAAGGTGAGGGGTGGGCAGAAATGACTTGAGTTTGGAATATTCTAACTTTCTAGGTTGGAAGTATTTTGTAAGACGTTAGAAATACTGTTCTGGAACTCAGGAGCAAGAGGAGGGAGGTTTAGATTTCAGGAGTTGCAAATTCAAAGAAATTCCAACGAGAGAGGGGAGCAGAAGGGAAGTCACTATGCCCTCAGCCACAGAGGCGTCAGAACAGTAAGGTTGAAAAGGGGGCAAATACTCTAAGTAAGAAATGGGACCGAGGGATAAATAATGGCGCCATTATCTCATTTGCAAACAGGGTTGACAGGCATGAAGGATACGAAAGGAAGATGCATGGGCTGCTTCTACACGGTGTGATTCATTGCTCCCTGCTTTCTTGATCCCCTCATCCCCAATAAACTTAGTAAAGTAAAAATAAACATTTACACAGAGTTCTTGCATCTTTAATATCACCTTTTTAGAGGCCGTTGAAGGAAACATAAACTTTTCTGTAAAGTAACGTTACATTCACACTGAAAAAAAGGAATTACCATAGGAGTTTTTTATATGTTAGGAACATCCGTGATAGAGGAATTCTCTCTAGACGTGTAACTTTCTATTCAATGACATTCCTTATATTAAGTGGCCATAGAGGTAACTAGATAGCAATGAGATGATTTTTTTCTTACTGCAGATGATGATTAATTGGTGTAAAGATTTTAAGGCAACTGTAAGCCATCTCTTATTCCAATTCATAGAGAAATCTTTTAGCCAAAGAAATCAAATTAATCTTCCTGTGTGAAAACAAAACCTAAACAACACACACAAAAAGACTTGGTGGGTACAATAACATACATTATATTCTGCTTCTCCTGGCTTCTCTGAGGCACTTACCAGACCAGTGTTGTTTCCCTGTATCTGGCTGAGCTCTCAGCAGCAGCTCCTGACTTACAAGAAAGAAAACAAAGTAATTTCAGGTTCCATCTACATATAAGGAAAATGTCAAGAACGAAAGGAGCAGTGTTTGGAAGATTTCATAAAACGTAAAAGGGATACAAGTAAAAGTGTGTAAAAGTGTTCTGCACTGTAGTGTTTTCACCTGAAGAAATGTGAGGAGATGTGTTATTGTATTCTCCTTCACAAAATACTCAGTATTGAATCCAGTTTCTTTTTAAATTTAGAGGTTAGAGATATAATTAGTGAAATAAAGAAGTCTTGAAACATCTGAAGTGGACATGAAGGAGAGAAGGATGTTTTCTGTGAGAGGCCAGGGCTGGAACTTGCCCTGTGCCCGTGTCATGTTGGGTGGTTTCTGTGTAAAGAACCATATGCCCACAGCCAGGCAGGTTGGAAATAGACATAGTGCAATGGACAATAATGCAAGCCTCTTAACATTTCCATGCCTCTGATTCTTTGTTTGGGGACCTAGGGTAGGTAGCTAGGAAGGAAGATAATCTAAAATGCTAGCATTCCCACCCTAGCTGGTTTGGTTCAGTGGATAGAGCATTGGCCTGCGGACTAAAGGGTCCCAGGTTCGATTCAGGCCAAGGGCACATGCCCGGGTTGTGGGCTCAATTCCCTCCCCCACCCTCCCACCCCCCGCAGTAGGGGGCATGCAGGAGGCAGCCAATCAATGATTCTCTCTCATCATTGATGTTTCTATCTCTATCTCTCTTCCTTCCACTCTGAAATCAATAAAAAATATATATTTAAATAAAAATAAATAAAATGCTAGCATTCCCAAAAGACACCTTTATAAGATTGTCCCTTAGGAAAGATCCTGTTCACTTTCTGGGCAATACCTTATGCCTAACAGCCTCCTGCCCGCCTCCCAAGATTTGTGGGAACTAATCACCATTCCTCGGTTTTCTTTCCTTTGATTTGAGAGGTTTTAAGGAGTCTTTATCGTGATGATTGCCAGCCTCAAGTGCAAGCATAGCTTTTCTAAGAACTTTGCTTTTCATTTCTCAAGTATCTCATTTTAGGGATGAGATAAAGAAGAGGACACCAGATGAGTTCACTCTTGAGGGCATCTTATAAACCTAGTGTTAAGAAGTTCCTGTCCTTCCCAAACAGGAAAAAGCTAGAGGAGTTCATCACCACCAAGCTAGTATTACAAGAAATGTTAAAGGGACATCTTTAAGAAGAAGAAGGGGAAACAAAAAGACCAACAATGTGAATAATTAAATGGCAATGCCTACATAGCTATCAATAATTACTTTAAATGTAAATGGATTTCTAAAAAGTGCAGGTAGCAATACTTATTTCAGACAAAGTAGACTTTAAAACTAAGGCGATACCAAGAGACAGAGAAGGACATTTCATATGCATTAACCAAGGTTTGGAAACAACCTAAGTGTCTATCAGTAGATAATTTGATTTTAAAAAGTGGTGGTACATGTATACAATGGAATATTACTCGGCCATAGAAAATAATGAACTCTTACCATTTGCAACAACACAGATGGACCTAGAGGGAAATATGCTAAGGGAAATAAGTCAGACAAAGACTAAGACCAGATGATTTCACTTATATGTGGAATCTAAAAACCAAAATAAATAATCAAACGAACTCATAGATACAGAGAACAAACTGGTGGTTGTCAGATGGGAATGGGTTTGGGGGGCTGGGTGAAGAGATTAAGAAGTACAAAATTGCAGTTACCAATGGTCATGGAATGTAAATTACTGCAGTGGGAACATAGTCAGTAATATTGTAATAACTAGAGGCCCAGTGCATGGATTCATGCACCGGTGGGGTCTATCAGCCTGGCCTGTGCTCTCTCGCAATCCGGGACCCCTCGGGGGATGTCGGACTGCCGGTTTTGGCCCTATTCCCACAGGCCAGGCCTAGGGACCCCACCGGTGCACAAATCCGTGCACCAGGCCTCTGGTAAGTTTATATGACCTTTGTTTAATTTCTTCCCACCCTCCCCCCTTCCCCTTCCCTCTGA